TCAATTCTGTCTATGTAGATCTGGGGTAGAAGTTCCAGGGTGCAACGGCTCATCTCCTCCATGTAACTCCCAGTGAGAAGATCAGGGTAATAGAGACTATTTCTGAGGACAGAAATAGGAAGGTTCTGTCAAATGGTTGGTCAATCAGTGACAGGAGAGTTAAAAGCAGGGAGAAAAAGTGAGACGATAGAGAGGGAAGTAGGAAACAGTCTTCATCTTCAACCCTGGCTCTGTGGATGATCACAGTGGTCCTCTCGGCCCCTCACACATAGTTCACAGATGCAAAGGGCCTGAAATCTCTCAGGGGCAGGCAGAGTTACCCTTGCTTCTTCCCCTTTGAGGCTGTTGCTATCACAAGTCTTCATGTACTGAGGGCTATCACGTCTTGCCCAGTAACTGTGATGTCCCCAGATGCACAAAGCAGGGAGTGCTTTGCTGTGGAGAGAATGGTGACCTGCCTGATCTATAGATGATGAGGTTTGTGGGCTAGCACGAACTCCAGGCACACAAAGAAAGAAGAGAAGTTTCTGAAGTGAACACAGTCATCAATACTGACAACACATCTGCCTGTGGCTGGACCAGTTCTCGGCCAACACTGGACAGCAGCAGAAACTATTAGAACACAGAGGAGCTACAATACAATCCAGCAAACCAGCCCTGTCCCAGACCAATTTCAAAACCAGGAGACACAAATATAAGCCTCTTTAATATTTTGTCTTCTTAAAAACAACAACAACAAAAACCCGCTAGTGGATTTTGTGGATCAAACTCTGGTTGTTGGGTGTGATGACAAATGACCAACTCACTGCTCCTTCTTTGCCTTATTTTGCAAAACTGAACTTTCTGTATTTCTTCCTTCCATTTTTTAAAATTATTATTGATCAGTAATGTTTTTACTTTGAAAACTTTTTTATTTTTATTTACCTAATCTTATTTACATCTTAAAATTTGTTTCATAATTGGACTTAATTTATCTTTTCCTCTTCCTCATGCTCTTTTCCCTTTATTCCCTTTTTATGTAACCACACTTCATTTTCCTTTTTTTTTTCTTTTTCTCTGTGAGATCTGCCTACCTCTGCCTTTCGAGTGCTGGAATTAAAGGTGTGCACCCCCACTGACCCACTGAGTATTCTTAGGAGCAGAGCTATCTCTCCAGGACCCTTGATACTTTAAGTTTTTGTTTGTTTTTAATGTGCCTGTGGCAATGTATGCTACATGTCAGTGGGTACTCATAGAGGACACTGATTCTTTGGAGCTGGAGTTACAGGTAACTATCCTATGTGGATGCTAGGATATAAACCCAGGTCCTCTGGAAGAACAGCACATACTCTTACCCACTGAGCCATTTCTCCAGCCCCTAGTCCCTAGTCCTTAACACACATACACACACACACACACACACACACACACACACACACACACACACACACGCCTGGCTTATTGAAGAAGATATTTGGCTAATTTTGTTTCCATCATCCCACTAAATCATAAAACATGGCCACTCAGTTAAACTACTTTAGCTGAATGATTCTCAAAGTCAGAGATGAGAACAGACAGAACAGCTGCATTACCTAAGGGAAAATTTTCTGGCAATGCACAGCTTTCCTCTAGCTCCTTCTGCTGGCATCCTCACACCCCTCTCCAAGGATGCCCACCCCAAAGTTGCACATGGTGTGACTATCAGAGTGGGAAGATACTTTTAAACAAGGAGGTGTGCATTCACTCAAAGTTCACTAGATGATTTATTTGAATACAGCAGTATCGGCCTTTCAGTTACAAGTCTCTATGAGGAAAAGAGGTTTACAAATATCATATCTCTAAAAGAGGTAGGTCTTAGAATAAAATGCCAAGAAAATTGATTTTTGTTAACATTGTTGCTAAATGCCTTAACAGCGTGATCATTTGAAAATACTCTACAGTGTGAGGTTTAAGGTACAATGAGTCCTAATTAGTGTTTTAATAACTGTGTTAGCACTGCCTTGTACCATTCTGGAATGTCACTTACAGTAAATTAAGGGACACTTTCCCTCCCTATCTTCCATTAGATTTTAATGCTAGGAGGTGGGAAAAGGCTGATCCATATTCAATAGGAAAAGAGGGAAAACAATAACAAATTGGCATTTCTTCTGTGAATTGCCCCACAGGCCAAGCATTTTTATGTTCTTAATCATTATTAAATGACTTAACATGACACCCAGAGTCTAGCGAATGATTGCATCCTGACATGAGAACAAATTACAAATGAAATGAAAGATCAAGCTGTATTAGAGGACTGCCTCTGGGAAATGAAAATCTTTAATTCTCTTTTATTATTGACATTTATTTGGTTGCCATGAATAACAACACAGCAAAGAGATTCGGCTATGCTTGTGCGCTGAATAGTTTATCCCAGGGCTCAAAACTGCATTAACATTTATCATGTTTGCTTTTGTAGCTGACACCACTGAACAGATTCTCTATCCATCTTGTATTTATCATGCATCGCAATATACTGCATCCTCTAAGTTCATTTTCATATGGTAGGAACAGCAAGATTAGCTGGCGTCTTGCATCAAATAAATTCCCGATTATAAGCATTCTTAGAGTGGTTTAATAGATTTAATAAAGCATGAAGCAAGTTCACACAGACAAAAATTGTTACAAGATAGGGAGGCTAGATTTCATTCTGGAGAAAATTATACAAATCGACAGTGAGAAAGACATTTATATGATACATGTTTCTGGATATAGGAAGACTTAAAAAGGATGTCTCCACAAAGAGCAACCCGGTAGCATTTTATGAATGTAGAGGTAGGATTACATTTCCTATAGGAAGCCTGCCTGGTTTAGGACAGAAATGGTCCACACACTGTAACATGATAGTGCTCTTGTCTGTGTCATGTAGAGATAGCCTTTCATGGGTTATTTCTCTTCCTGCCACAGAAATGAAGGATTTCACGGTACCTTTTGATATGTCGACAACAAAGAAGTTGAGTAACTTACTTCTTGTGTATTTCTCTTTACCCAAATTAGTCAATAATTTATTTCATCAGTGACCCTTTTCAGATTTTATATATTTACTTAGCTAAAAAAGTTACTTCAGGGGTCTGGAGAGATGGCTCAGTGGTTAAGAGCACTGGTTGTGCTTCCAGAAGACCCGGGTTCAATTCCCTGCACCCACATGGCAGATCCCAACTGTCTGTAACTCCTGTTCCATGGGAATCCGACATCCTCACATAAACATACATGCATTCAAACATAAATTAATTTAAAAATATGCTAACTTATAAAAAAGCTTCTTTAGTAGACGTGATGGTGCATAACTGCAATCCCAGCACTTAGAAGGCCAAGCGAGGCAAGAGAATTGCTCCAAGTTTGAGCTCAGCTTGGGTACACAGAGATCACAAGTGAGCCTGGGCTATAGATTGAGAATCTATATCAGAAATTAAAGAAAGAAAATTTTCATTTTCAGTAGAATGTCTCTTTTCATGTTTTGTGGATCTTTTGAGTCAATATCATCCACAATGAGAAATACAGTTATACTTTAGATTACATTCAACATTTTATGTAAATTAATTTTATTTTGCAGATCTTTACAGATCATGTTATATTCGATATTCAGCTGAGTACTAATCAAACACGTTGGCAGTAATTATATTACTGTTTACAAAAATCATTAGCTAACTGATTGGATTTAAGATGAACCATTCAGAAAGAATTAACAGATGCTTGAATAGTAGCTAAAATGAAGTAGCGTCATATTAAAAATATTATTTTAACCAATATGTTTGATTACTAGGTGAAATTCCTATTTAATTTCAATGCCATAAAACAGACATGAGAATTTTCTTCTTGAAGGAAAATCTGAGGTTATAATCATCAACCAAGCTCTTTGGGAAGCTGAGGCAGGGAGATTAAAAATTCAAGGTTATTCTGGGCTACACAAGGAATTCAAGGCCAGTATAGGGTATTTAGCGAGACAGTCTCTTAAAATAAAAGGAAAATAAAGTATAAAAAAAGGACCAAGGATATAGCTCAATGGTAGAGCACTTGCTTAGCATGCTTAAGGCCCTAGATAAGATTTCCAGTATTGGGCCAGGCATGAGTCAGAGGCAGGTGAGTTCAAGGATAGTGAGTTCCAGGACAGTCAGGAACACATAGACTGTCAAAAAACAAAAAACAAAAAACAAAAAACAACACCCTGTATTGGAAAAACAAATCAACAATGACAGAAAACATTCAGAAGAAGAAACAGTTCTCATAATAGCATAAATATATTTTATTCTGATGCAACTGTTTATATGTAAAAGTATTGCTTGAAAAGAAAGATATTCTCAGTAACCAAGTGGGTTTCCCTAGTAAGGGAACTATTTCTGACATGAACTCAATGACTGGCTCCTTTACCTCCCCTGCCCCCCAAGGGGGGAACAGTCTTGCTAGGCCACAGAGGAGGACATTGCAGCCAGTCCTGAAGATACCTGATAAGCTAGGGTCAGATGGAAGGGGAGAGGACCTCCCCTAGCAGTGGACTTGGAAAGGGGAATGGGAGGAGATTAGGGAGAGAGGGTGGGACTGGGAGGGAATCAGGGAGAGGGCTATGGCTGGGATAGAAAGTAAATAACCTGTGGTTAATAATAAAAAAAAAATAATAAAAAAATGCAATCATGAAAAAAAAGAAAAGATATTTCTAGAATAAGTAAACCCCTCCAAACTTCAAAAGTAAACAAGCTACATCAATAGACTTTTCATAAATTATAGTTTGGACAATAAAATTGTGTCCAGAGGGTAGAGTAATATCAATGTCAAACTGTAGAAAGCATATGACTATGAATAGCACACTATCAAAGGGATGTAGAACCTTGCTGATCTCTTTAACCCTGGATTACCAGGGCATCATGTCCAGAGGGTGGAGGAGAGTAATATCAAAGTCAAACTGTAGAAAGCATGACTATGAAAGCACACTATCAGAGGATGTAGGATCTTGCTGACCTTTAACCCTGGATCCCCACGGCCCCACATACCTGCAGCCACTATAGTGTCACCTTGTCCTTGAGTGAAGATCACGGTCCTCCGCCTCTTCAAGTTCACCTTTGGAAGAGCCTGTGTCTTTTTGGCTATTTCTTTAATGTCTTTAGTCTATTAATAAGAGGGAAAAATTCATTATCAGTAGAGTAAGGGAAAATATTATTAGTATGTTAACAATTTTGCTTCTGATGGGGCACATTGGCTACTAGGGCACATTTGAAAAGACCTTTTTAACCACACAAAAATAAAGAGAACAGCTTTATTTATCTCCAAGAGCTCCCGGGGATCCTACTTATGATGGATTTTACTCCATCTTCACCTGCCATTCATTTTATTTCAAAGCAAAATTCAGGCACTTTATAATTGAATCTATAAATGCGCTAACGTGTCAGGGCTGGAGAGGTGGCTCAGCAGTAAGAGCACTAGTTGCTCTTCCAGAGGAGCTGAGTTCAATTCCCAGCAACCACATGGTGGCTCACAACCATATACAATGGGATCTGATGCCCTCTTCTGGCATGCAGGTGTTCATGCAGATAGAGCACTCATACATAAAATAAATATTAAATATATAAATCTATAGTTATATATTTAAAATATATTTATATATTTAAAAAATATATTTAATATATTAAATATATATTAAATATTAAATATTTTTATTTTATTAAATATTAAATATTAAATATTTAATATATATTTTAAATATATAAATATGAAATCTTAAAAAGTGTGTTAACATGTCATCTATGAAAGATAATGATTAAAACACTACATAATCACGATATACTTTAAAATATTTCACCTGACTTATGAAAGGACTTGGGTTCAGTTCCCAGTACAAAAACAAACACAGCACAGTGTTTCTGAGCGAAGATGATGACAGTAGGTAGAGGGACTTCTTGGCCACTAGAACTAGTCCCCCACCCCCCACCAGAAAAAAGTCCTTACCACAAGCAAATAAATATCGAGTCAAATTTCAAATTAAAGAGTTTTAGAGAATTTCTCATCTGTATTTGAGATGGAGTCTCCCTGTGAAGCCCAGGCTGGCTTGAAGTTTGTGATTCTCCTGTGTTTACCTCCATAGGTTGGAATTACAAGTATGTACCCTCATGCTCAAGTAAAGAGAGGTTTTTTTTTTTTTCTAAAAAACTTTAATTCATTATTTTAGACATTTACAGAGTATGACTATGATGACTTGGGAATTAATAGAAAGGATGAATAATACTAAATAATAAAGCAATGTCAATTTTCCAAAGATTTGGCTGAGAACAAGAAATGCTCACCTTCCTTTACTTTGTAAAGACAATTTTCCATGGGAAGGGGCATTAAAAGTGATAGTTAAAGGGAGGCTTCACATTCTTCATGACTCACTGTCAGTAGTCTGCACTTCATCACCTTTCATCACCTAATAGTACTCTCTTGTGTTATCTTTTCTAAATGCTCTACTATAACCACATACACATTAGATCATTTTTTTTCTCTCTAGATTGGATGAGTTTGGTTAATATAATACATTCTGAGTATACATGCTGCAAAGTTTATGACTTTATTTTTATTTAGAGCTGAAAATTTTTTTTACTTATATACCAGATTTTCATCATCTATCAATCTGGTGATGGGCATGACACCTGGTTCCATTTCCTTGCAATTCAAGCAGCAATAACTATGGAGGTGGAAATAGCTCTATGGGAAGGTTCGGCATTCTCAAGAGTACATGCCCAGGAGTGAAAGAGTTGGGTTGTATGGTAGTTCTATTTTTAATTTTTTTGAGGACCCTCCAAATTGATATGCATAATGTGTGTACTAATTTGCACCCCACCAGCAGTCACTAATGATTCTTTCTTTACATCCTTGCCAACATTTATGATCTGACTTCCTTCCTTCCTTCCTTCCTTCCTTCCTTCCTTCCTTCCTTCCTTCCTTCCTTCCTTCTTCCTTTCCTTTCCTTTCCTTTCCTTTCCTTTCCTTTCCTTTCCTTT